TTGGGTTCTGTCTCTCACAGGTTTTACTGTATTATTATAGTACACTGACTGACTAGGAGCAATTGTACATGAGTTGACTAAATTAATATTCTCTACTCGATCTCTAAATTCAAACACCCATTGCAATGGTTAGACAGACTCAAAAACAAAATTTATGATTCAAAGGTTTATTAAGGAAGGCAACAAGTTGTAATGCCAGTGAAAAATGCTCAGGGTTGAGTTATTTATAAGGACATGTTTGTTACAAAGTTCTTTTCGGTCTTAATAAATGCCCAAAGGAGCATACCAAACCAAACCAAACTCACTGCCTTAGAGTTGATGCCGACTCAGCAACCCTCCAGTAGGTTTTCGAGACTGTAACTGTTTATAGGAGAGTGGAAATCCCAGTCTTCTCCCAATAATCTGTTGGTGGTTTCAAACTAATGACCATGTGGATCACAACCCAATGTACAACCAGTATACCACGAGGGCTCCCTGTTCTGCTGTGTCTCAGCTCCTTCAACCCGAAGGCACTCAGCTCCACTTCTGTGGGTCAACAACCCCAACTTCTCCTACTTAGAGGCAATTCACTCTGAAAGCTAGCCGCCCTCACAAAAACATTAAGCTTTACATGCTGTGTGGGCTGGTAAGTCCATCACGCTGTTCCATTCTCCGGATCCCAGATCTGCTGCTGCTCCTATGATGTTATGGCTGTCTTTTGGATCTGGGGTCTACAGGACACGCTCCACTTCTGGCTCTTGCTGGTAACAGGATTTCTCCTCCTGCTTCTCAGAGGGCTCATTTTATATGAGGCAGGATGACATTCCAGGGCATTCTAGTCACAATTACCAGGGAATCCTCCTGTCAGTTATCGTCCCCACCATCTTACCAGCCCCATGCTGGGAAAGGTCCTTTGGTAGTAGTTAGAGACTTGGCCTAGAAAAGCCATATGAACTAACTCACTGCTCCTGCAGTACACATGGCAAGAGTAAGCCCAACAAGCACTTATTACATAGTAAGTGTAGTGTAGGGTACAAAGTTCTATTTCAATAAACTGACCCCCCAGAAATCTTGTCCTCAGAAAAATCTATTTAGGGAAGGAGAGGTAGACAACACACAGTATATTATAATCACATGCTCTAATCGAAAAGTATTATGAGTGGGGAGAGGAGGATACAATAAATGCTGAATCAATAGTCTAAGAAGACTTCTGTGGGAAAGACAAACTGAAAAACTGTTAACATGTGAAAAAGGCATTTTATGAAGAAGTTTCTGAAATTTTAGCTATGTCATTAAATCCTAGAGAAGAACTGTCTAAGCAGTGGTTTTCAATCTTCCTACTGCCGCGACCCTTTAATACAGTTCCTCATGTTGTGATGACCCCCAACCACACAATTATTTTTGTTGCTACTTTGTAACTGTAATTTTGCTATTGTTATGAATCGTAATGTAAATATCTGATATGCAGGATGTATTTTCATTGTTACAAATTAAACATAATTAAAGCATAGTGATTAATCACAAAATATGTAATTACATATTGTAAAATATTTACCACGTATACTCGGGTATAGCTGACCTGGATATCAGCTGAGGCACCTAACTTTACCACAAAAACTGCATAAGAACGTGCTGACCAGCCTGTGTGACCACGAGGTGTTGAGGGATCAAGTCATTGTGAATGAGGGGGAGTGCAGAGTGGAGACCCAAAGCCCATCTGTAGGCAACTGGACACCCCCTTACAGAAGGGTCGCAGGGAGGAGATGAGCCAGGGTGCAGTATAGCAATGATGAAACATATAACTTTCCTCTAGTTCTTAAATGCTTCCTCCCCCCGCCATCATGATCCAAATTCTACCTTACAAATCTAGCTAGACCAGAGGATGTACACTGGTACAGATAGCAACTGGAAGTGGTGAGAGTGGCAACACCTGGAGGGTGGAGGGAAGGTGGGGTAGAAAGGGGGAACCGATGACAAAGATCTACATATAACTTCCTTCCTGGGAGATGGACAACAGAAAAGTGGGTAAAAGGAGATGTCGGACAGTGTAAGATATGACAAAATAACAATAATTTATGAATTATGAAGGGTTCATGAGGGAGGGGGGAACAGGGAAGGAGGGGGAAAATGAGGAGCTGATACTAAGGGCTCAAGTAGAAAGCAAATGTTTTGAGAATGATGATGGCAACAATTGTACAAATGTGCTTGACACAATAGATGTTTGTATGGATTGTGATAAGAATTGTAAAGGCTCCAATAAAATGATTAAAAAAAAGTGCTGAGAAACTCAGCTTATACACGAATATATATGGTATGTGTTTTCTGATGGTCTTAGGCAACCCCTGTGAAAGGGTCATTCGACCACCAAAGGGGTTGTGACCCACAGGTTGAGAACCGCTGGTCTAAATGCACAGCATAGTTGTAAATAAAAGTTGACAAATAAGTTAATAGCTTAAGCAAAGGCTACAGAAGTTTTACTTTGAAAAAAAGATACATATCTGAGCATGTATATTGTGAGGAAAGGGCCAGTAGGGATGGAAAGGATTGATATAAGACACAAGATACCCACAACTGATAGAGGTCTCTGAGAAGTCAAAAGGAGATATGGCCTCAGAACATAGATTTGACTTCAGACAGGAAGGTTATTCCCATGGGAAAAAAAAATCAATGTAAGGATCAGGAAGAAGGAATCGCCAGGCATAGTCAGTGAAAGCCAAGAGAGGGCTAGCAATGCCAGATGCAATGCAGAGTCCAAGTAAGATAACATTTTCTACTGGAATTGGCAATTAAGGCGTTAGATTAAAGCCAACATTTTGGCCTTTCCTGCATTCGGTAACTATAATTCAGCCCCCAAAGATGAAAGCTGTTGTTAGGTGTTGTCAAGTCAGTTTGGATTCAGAACCACTCTAAGTACAAAAGAACAAACACTGCTGACCCTTGTCACCCTCACAATCACTGCCCCCCATTGTTGCAGCCACTGCTGTCAATCTATCACATGAAGGGCCTTTTTCTTTTTAGCTGACCTCCTAAGAAGCATGATGTTGTTCTCAGGGATTGGTCCTTCTTGATAACATGTCTATAGGACCCAAGACAAAAAACTCTGCATTCTCACTTTCAATGAGAATTCTGGCTGTACTTCCAAGACAGGTTTGCTCATTCTTTTGGCAGTGCCAAGTATATTTTTTAGCCAACACCATAATTCAAAGGTATGAATTCTTTTTTGGTTTTCCTTATTCACTGTCATTTTCACATGAATGTGATGTTATGGAAAATACCATGGATTGCGTCTGGCACTCCATTGTCCTCGATGTGACAGCTTTGCTTTTAAGTACGTTAAAAGTGTATTTTACAGCTGATTTGCTCAATGAAATAATGTCATTTGATTTCTTGACTGCTGCTTCCATAGGCATTAAGAGCCAAGTAAAATGAATTCCTTGACAACTTCAATCTTTTCTGTGTATATCATAATGTTGCTTGTTGGTTCAACTGTGTGGATTTTGTTTTCTGCTGAGGTGACCTCAATGGAGGCTGTAGCCTTAGGTTTTCATCAGTAAGCACTGCAAGTCCTCTTTGCTTTCAGAAAGGATGGCTGTCACTTGCCTATCAAAAATTACTAAGGAGTCTTCCTCCACTCGTGATGCCCGGTTCTGTTCTTTCCAATCTTACTGCTACTAGGTGGATTCTGACACTTAACGAATCTACAGATCAGAGTAGAATGGTCTTCTGGGGTTTCTCAGGCAGAAATCTTCATAGTAGAGTAGCTAATGTCATCTTTCTCCCATGGAGTGGCTGGTAGCTTTGACCCATCAATCTAGCAGCCTATTGTTTAAGCCACTGTACCATTGCCCTAGGCCTACACATGTATGCAACTTTACAGCAAAATATTTTATATATATAATTCAAGTCAATGCCATCCTCAGTCACACTCAAAACCAGGGTTTCCATTCTTTCATGCACTTGTCTGCACACCATTATGGGCTCCATTTCCTGACACCCTTCTTTGGTTTGTTCCCAACACATGATCTGGAGCTCAACATCTTTTCAGGTGGAAACTTCAAAATTTCCTTACCCCACTCTCTCCAGAGAGCACTGCCAGCCATTCACTCCTCGATATATGTACTCTTCCTTGTGGTGCGTACCATTCTATCCTGGTATTAACTCTAGCACTCCTTCTATTTTCTTTAAAGGCTCCCCACCCCAGCTCTTAATTAGTAATGCTCACTAGGATTCTATCCTTAGCCTTTGCTCTTTACTGTTGTTAGCTGCTGGTATGCACTCAATTACTCTGTAAATACTAGATGTCTGCCACTGTGGTGGTGGGTAGGTGCCAGAGTATTGGTTCCAACTCACAGCGACCCTCTGTACAACAGAACAAACAACTGCCCTTGTCCTGCGCCATCCTCACAATTGTTCTTACAATGGAGGTCAATTCACGTGGTCAGGGTCTTCTTCTTTTCGCTGCTGCTGTATTTTACCAAGCATGGTATCTTTTTCTAGACTCTGGTCTTTTCTGGTTAACTTGTCTAATGTTATGTGAGGTGAAGGCTCACCATCCTTGCTGCTAAAGGGTATTCTGGCTGTATTCCATCCAAGATAGATTGGTTTGTTCGTCTGGCAATCCATGGTATTTTCCATATTTTTTTGCCAGCACCATAATTCAAATGCCTCGGTTCTTCTTTGGTCTTCCTTATTCAATGTCCAACTTTTAAATGAATATGAGGCCACTGAAAATACCATGGCTTGGGCCAGGTGTACATCAGTCCTGAAAATAACATCCTTGCTTTTCAACACTTTAAAGAGGTCTTGTGCAGCAGATTTACCCAATGCAATGTGTTGCTTGATCTCTTGGACTGCTGCTTCCACAAGCATTGTT